ACTAGAAAGATATATAATGTAGTGCAAGAAAGTTTTGAGCATTTACATTATCGCTTATAAATGTTGACTGAGAATTAGATGCTTTCAGAATATAAATCATATAGTAAATTAAGAATCATTTTGCTATTACTTTAAATAAAAAGAATCTTTCAAAACTAACCACGACATCAACAATTGACTGAATATTTGACTATATATGATTTATTAATTTTGACTGTCCCTATATCAAAAGATAGCTTTCAAACATCTTTACAAGAATAAAAATTTTTTACTTTTTATACTAAGACTACAAAAATATATTGAAGCACAAAAAAATATAGATAAAATTACAAAGTAGCTATTTACGTCTTAACAAGAGTTAACAATTCATGTCTTATGAAATTTATCGACTGGAAAAAACAACTAAGATTAATTTTAATATCTTTATATGAGAATTTTATTTTATTTTAAGAATAAATTCTAGTGATTTGAATTTTAAATTAGATTTAAATTAAAGAGTCTTAGTTTCTGTTCAAGTTTAAATTAGAACAATTTTATGTTAAAGTAAATATAAATCATGGTATAGGAAAAAAAATATTTTTCTAAAAATTTATTTATTCTTGAATTTTAATTATCTTGTCCAACACGAAATATTTTCTCTAAAATATCAATGGTCAAAAGAATTAGTTTTGAAAAAAAAAATAAAAAAAATTTTGAATTAATTTGATTCTACTGTATACAACTAATTTTGGATTTTATGATAAATATTTTCTATTCAAATCAAAACTTGAATAATTCTGAGTAAAACTATATTAAATAGTATCTTAGAATGTGTATTGACATTTAGAAGTTGATTACTTGATCGTATAGTTCAATCAGTTAAACGATGGGCCAGTTATATATTCTATGCATGTTCGAATGTAACCTTCTGCCTTGTATTTCTATTATTTAGACTAGTCTGGACTAGACCACTACATAAGACTACAATCTGTTAGATGCGGTGTCACGAACGTTTTTACATTTTTTGATTTAAAATCTATTTTGAATGGACGTCCGGACAGTGTAACATATCTAATCTTTTTCTCAAAAACGATTAGTCATAAAAAACAGAATAATGTCAGTGAGTTACGTAGTCACGACATGAGCTAAAGACTCCAGACGATTTTGGACAAGTCATGGTAGAAGACTTTTTGAGAAAAAGACTAGACACTACGTATAGTCATGACTAGAAAAATGACTAGTCTTGTTACCCGTCCTTTGCTCGTCTGGATAACTATCTTGTTTGTTTCCGTGATTCGATCAATCAGTCATATATTCGTTACGTGATAGTGTCATTCTTCTCTTTCCGTCATATCAGTCACAGATTCTTTTTTCGTATCTTTTTCATTTCTATCTAGTACATAATTTGGCACTTTTTTTTTTGAATTGATTGCATTTTGTCTGTATATAGTCTATTAAGAACTGATATAATTGATAGATCAGTACTCTCATGTGAGTGATTCGATATAGGTTAGTCTTTAAATTTTAGTGTTTTTATTGAAACTCTTGACTTTGATTAGGCAACCTAGTTATATTCGAATCGATCGATCATTATCACTAATCTCGATTTTGTCTCTTTCTTTTCGCTGTCTAAAACCATATAGAATTGTCTTTTTTTGCTTTTTCTGTTTACGTCAGCAGAAATAAGGAAGAAGCAAATAGTATTAGTTAGATATTATTAATAAGTTTTAATTATATATGCGGTGTTTTATAAATTACTAATCTATTTCAGTTCTTTATATTCTTTCAGTATCTAAAGTAGGACAGAGACTGCGGATACATATATCAAGAATAATATCTATATTATTATTCAAAATTTGTTGAACTCAGTTGCCGCTATTAATAACAAAATACTTTGTGGATGTGGGTGCGGATGTTGTTATCCTCTTCTCTCATATCCACATCTACACCCACACTTATAAACATAAAATATCATTAATAAGCATTTTCGAGTGTGCTTGATTCACATTCTTTTACGTTTACTAACAAATTTCTTACAATGTCAAACGGCAAAAGAATAGACTTTTGGAATTGATAAAAATCAGACACTGTTTGGTTATTGACAAAAAATCTATATGCTGCTAATTCGCTTGCTATATTGAAGATCGATATCATCTCTGAAATATTTCAAATGATATTCGTAAATATCTGTTGATTGTGAATTTCCAACAAGTGTAATTTTTTTTAAATATCATTCTTAATAATGCCACGTTGAATTAATGATTTAAATGTGTTTATAGACTTAGTACTGGTATAATTATTCATAATACCAATATCTGTTAGACAACAAAACAACACGATCAGAGATAGGCAGCTTCGACTCCAAGGCGCTCGCTTCGCTCCAGAAGGGGAGCCGGCGTGGCTTTTTTTTCTAACTCCAACCAGGTGTCCATTTTTCCCTTTATTCTTCTGTGCACAAAGACGGAAGAATTAGCGAGGAAAAGCTCGTCATCGACTATTCATTTCAGTGAATATACCATTGTTACACTTTAATCAATGGCAATGCTCGAAACAATGGCTGACCATTCATTTAGTCGATTGTTCTACGGCTCTAATTGGGTTGTGTTATTGTTGGTTTGAAAATGTCAGAATACGATGTCAATGAAGAGAAAAAATTCAATAATATAAAATGTGTGAGAAGTGAGCGATGATAGAATAGAACAAAATTTCTCATTCAAGTGAAAGTTGCATGAACTAACTTTGCTATGTCAAAATAATCATATGGTCAAGCATGAAGTTCACTGAACAGCACTAAACTTCAAGAAAAATAGCAAAAAAAGACTTCACTAGAGCGGAGTCGAAGCGGAGCGCTGCGTAAGAGCGGTGGACCTTGAGCAAAGTCGGAGTGAGTGTTTTTTATTGAGACTGGAGCTGGAGGAAGAAATGGTCGGAGCTGCCAATCTTTGAACACAATTTGAAATCTTGAAACACTAATCTGGGAATCAATAGAACACTTCAGCATTAAAACTCTTATAATCATACACATCGAAATTTATGTAAAATTTTAATTACTTCTAAAAAGACTATGACAAGCTCAAGATGAAATTGACAAAAACTAAGGATCCATTATTCTAGAAAATTAAAAAAGAAGAAATTTTTCTCACCCAATGATCAGGAATTATAATCTTTACAATTTGCATCAATATATTTCCATCCGCTACTTTTATAAATTTCTTATTGGTCATCATTATCATTACATAGAATTAAATTATAACCACTATCCAATCAACCTAATGTATCCATTTGATAATCTTGAAGTTTTTTTCTTGTATTTTTTGAATACAATCTTGTTGATTCATAGTTGAATTTGAATCTTCTATTAGTCTTACTAAAATATGTGTAGTCGGTAATGTTGCTAAATTGTCACGACTTATATATCGACATGCATTCCAGTTAGATCGATTTAATATATTGGAACAACCTATATGAAATGCACATCAAACACATCGATTTTGTACTTGTTCAGGAAAGAATCAGTATTAGTATTTTTTTCAAATAATAATTTACTATAAATATATCAAGTTTTATTGATCTATTAACTACAATATCAAATTTACATGTTTTCTTGACGTCTATGAATTATAGAATTAGTGAACTAACTGTCCCACCTGAACTCATAGTCAGCGATTGTATTTGTCAATAGAGAAATAGTGAATTTTAATTAATTCTTTTAAAATCCAAGACAAATATTTCGTAGAAATTTCCACATTTTAGCTTGTTAGAGTCTTCTCTTGTAAGCTTTTTCGTATTTCACTTTTACCAAGCGGTAATAGATAGTTGACATCATTATCGTTTTCTGTTGTAGACGTTGTCATATTTGTAATGGCATATTTGTTACCAACGAAAGTAAAAATAAATGTTAAACTTAAAGCCAATAATAGAGCCAACAGTAATAATCCATTGATACTATAAAGAAGACATTTGCGTTGTTTTTATTTTTGATATTCTTCGACGTCTTTTATATCTTCACGAGATAATGAAAATGATAATGTTCTCGATATTTCACTATCTGAAAATATGATAAATAGAATTGAAAGGAGCAACTCTTTTTGATTTTCACAAAAGTACAGCATCTTACATTCTAACTTATTATTATTTGGATCTTCACATTTCTCTAATTTGGTTTCAACTGAAATTGGTGTTTTTGAATCAAACTAAGTTCGTTTGATATTCGTTACTTTAAAAAACGCTAAAATAGAACAATTAAAATTTCTTTTTCAGCTGGTCTTATCGATAAACTTTCCATATTGATTGTTGCTAAATTTTGTTTTATTATATATTGACATACACATGAATATTGTAAAGCACGATAACTTTCAGGAGTATATGCCATTTGGATTTGTTGATCTTCACCAGCAAATATTTCAGCCGCATGACAATCAATAGATGTTGACAGAAATGAACGATTTAATATATAGATTTTCTTTTATTAATACAGTGGAAATATTTTAATATGAAGAGAAGAATAATCGATACCGTTTTAATCATTTTATTGTGACATTTTGTTATAAACTCATAACATCATCAGTCAAAAAGAAATGAAATGAAATTACAAGACAAGAGAAAGAATAAATAGATAGACAATACAAAGAAAGAGAATGGAACAAAGACACTTATTAAAAAACGTTTTCTTTTAATAAGTGTCTTTGTTCTGTTATCTTTCTTTGTATTGTCTATCTATTTATTCTTTCTCTTGTCTTGTAATTTCATTTCATTTCTTTTTGACTGATAATGTTATCAGATTTAATATATGTTGATTTAATTGATATTGATATAATCATTTTATGTTAGTCTCATATTTCAATAACATAAATCTTGATACCGATATTCAAGACAAACTTGGATGATAAATTAGAAATGTAAAAAATATCAACAAGATAATTCACAAGACGATAATTTGATGAAAAATGTTTTGTTTTATCGAAATATTCTAATATATAAAAACCTAAGTGTTTGTTTAATTCTTTATAAAAACATGTTGTTCATGAATAAGCTTTTATAAAATATGTTAAATCATCTTGTTTTTCAATATCTTCTCTAAAACATCCTTGAATTATTTCAATTTGTTTACGAGTAGTTTGATATTCCAGATTTTCAGTATTATTACTTTGATTTACTAGATACTCATTTAAACAATAATGAATAACTTCAGCTAATAATTTCGATACTAAATGATGATTGTCATAAGTTTTATATAAATCGGTAGCTTCACAGAATTTATGTCGTTTACCAAGAAGATCATTGCCTACCATTGGCCATTCAATATAATCATAATCATTCTTTGAAAATAATCTTCTTTGTTCTACAAATCATTTTTTAATATCATCTGTTTCAGCTTCTTCATAAGATGTTCGATTGTGTCGTAAATTTCAATGAAGTATAAAGTTCCATATTCTAATAAAATTTATAGTATATCTCGATGTCCATAATAACATGCAAACATGTTGAACCAGTTGAAATTTGAATCTTATTTATGATACTTATATTATCAATACATGATAAATTATTTCGAATTTTTCCTATTTCATTTTCTTTACATAAAAAATACAATAAATCAGTAGTATTGAAATTATTATCATTATTACTTGATAAAAATATGGATAACATGGTGATAAAAACAAAGAATAGAATTTTGGACAGATGCAAATCGATAATTGACGTGTTCAATCTATTAATATAGTAAGAATTTTGACTGTTGAGAGGAAAATCTGTCGATAAGTGTATTAAAAATTTCATGTCAAATATCAAATTATTAATTACAGACAAAAAAATAAAAAATAAAATTTGCATTACCTTCTATGGGTACGCCTCAATATTTAACTCTGTTGAAAAGAATATATCGAAATCCTGATCTTTTTCTTGTAGGTTTATATGCTACTAATGCTATTCTCTTTTAAGAGCGAGCAAGAAAGAGATGCAACAAATATAATACTTAATCGCAATACGAATAATTCACTTGACATATTTGTACTTCTCTTTTACTATGAATAATATGTAAAAATCTAACCCAGAGGCACCTAATTCTTGAACTATGTATTCAATGACATCAACCACTTCTGTTCGCATGGTCGCCTACTGAGAGAAAGAAACCTTATAATTTTTCACAATAAGTGAGGTCATGAAAAAAAGGATAATCGTTTAAAACTCTCATGTCTATACAAGCCAAAGATTGAGACATAGTGAGTAAAAACTCGTCAAGAAGTTCGGTAATCTGATAATGTTATTTTCAATCAATAGCATTCGTTGCATTACTTTTGTGTTGAAGAAAAGTAAAGGAAGAGAGAGTTTCGCAGAAACATCTTTAATTTTCAAAATCGAACACCAGAATGAGTTTTTTCAGTAATAAGACGACGTATTACACTAACAATGGCGATAAACTTATGCATCGACAACAAGCATATCAAACTATTATCATTAACAAAATTGTTTATTCACAATAGTTGGACAACAACGTCGGTAGGGTGTGGGTATTGGTCATCTCTTCAAGCAAACACTCACACCCACATTCAACCTTGACTGCTGAAAACGAATGTCAAATCTAATTACACTACTTTCGCAGACACTAGATTTTTACAAAGTGGTTTTTCAGAAATCCTGCGTTGTGGAAAACTTCTGAAATCTATTTTTCTTCAAAGTACCATAGATAGATACAGAATCAAATTATGAGTTCAATAGGACCTACGTGAAAGTTTTATTTTTTTTTACTTCAAAAGATCAACTATAACAGCAAATGCGTAAAACCTACTACACCATCTAATCTGAATAGAGTAGCTCAATCTAGGAATTTGCTAGAAGCTGCAAGAAGGTCCCACTTCATTTAGAATTCAATTTCGTATCCAACTATGATATCTTGAAGAAAAATAGATTTCACAAGTTTTCCAGAGCCATGGATTTTTGAAGAACGACTTTGTAAAACTCTATTGTTTCCAAACGTAATGGTATTAGAAATAACACTCATTTTTTTATCTACACAACTAAGTTTTCAGCTCTCTAGGTCGAAAATTGTCTGCTTTAGTTGGAAATCATTTGGTGAATTAGGCATCACTACGCTAATTTTTAATGTTAGTCACTTTTCTCAGAAACAAAAGAGATTTTCAAAAACAATGCTTTATACTTTTTTCTTATCTCAAGATAATTCTTTTAGCATATGAACGAGAGTAATAGGTTTGAACACAAAAAACTAGACAGAGTTTCAGTTAGAGACACTCAACCTTGAAATAGTGTCTGGAGCATTGACACGACAAATTTTTATTCGAAGTGTAGACTCTTGAAAAAATAATGTTCCAAACTCATTTTGTGATGGAGAATCTGGAAATAAATGTTTCGAATTGATAAAAGACTGTTGGGAAAATTGTGTAGGTTTTCTGAGAGCTGAATAACTTTTTGCTTGTTTAAGACTTTCTCCGTGTTTTTAGTTTTTCTCGGTGAAAAATTGCACTAATCGAGTTAAAAAGATGATATTTACAATCTGCTCGATGAGCTGAATCCGAATTAGACCTGTGACAATTTGCGATCAAGGAACTGAACTGGTATTACGCATACAATTCTTTTGAAAAGAACTGCTACTGCCAAGACAGACAAGCAAATCGGAAAAACGTAGTTTAAACATCATGAGTTTCAACTGTTTTAACAGTGTGGTATGATCCCGAAAGCGCGTTCAAACTAGTTAAAGATATTTAGTTGTTTAACACGTTGTCACTGTTTAAACACGATTTTTGAGACATATCAAACAGCTTTAACATTTTGGATGGGTGTGCTTGTGACTGTTACTGTAGGGCCTCTATTTAGCTATAATTACACTCACACCAACATCCGATATCAACATACACCCCCAAGCAACAAAACCTACCCTGATCTCCATATTCGCACCAATATAATGAAAAATCAGAGCTCGAAAAAAAAAATGGTGATCAAAAATGACTCTTTTTCTCACTGAATATACTCAGCTGTGCAACAAGCGAGATATAACACAAATGAGTATATGAAAAAGAGAACAAGCAAGTATATGAAAGAAAAAAAAGCAGAAAACAATTTTCTTTTTCGTTCTGTTTATCTGCTTCAGACATAAGGAAAAGAACGACACAGAAGGTCATAACGTAATATTATACACGACGAAAAATGAATGTATATTCATGCCATCAAAATCGCATCACTTTTGGCGATTAATCGCAATATTTGAAAAAACTTTAGATTAATTGCAATCAATCTGTGACTTTGTAGGTATTACAATAAATCATGAATAGTTGGCGATTTTCCAATAAACTTCAACAGTAACTATTATTATACAAAAATAAATATGTTTTTTCTTCTATTTAGATCATCTCAGTACCAAATTTAGGCAGCGGGCGTTGGAGATGATCGCTCTCATTGCAAAGCATTATTCTTGGGTTTTCCTATTAGACAAGGGTTTAAAATGAACTGATACTACATCTAATGAACTTCTAAGCACATTTTATGATCATGGTTGCCTCCCCCTCCCCTCCCCCCACGTAAAAATCCTAGATCTGCCACTGAGTCATCTGACTATATCAATGTGCAATAAATATTATTCTATTAAAAATAATTTTTTTCTATTATTTACTCGGATGGGGAGAAAGAAATTGTCTCTCCTGATTCACGAGAAACACGTATGAGCACGATGGTTGTATACGCGTCGATACGCAGTTGTAGATCCAAATACTACAATCAGATTGGATCATCGGAAATAGTATTTAAATAATCGCATTTTTTGTATAAAAATTGGAAAGAAAATCGTCAATTCAGATGATCAATCGCGATAAAATCGCCGATCTTTGCGTGATTCTGGTGACAGGGTATGTATTGTGAAAAAAAAAGGAAAAAGAAAGAAATACAGTGAAAGATATATAGAGATATCAATGAAATAGTAAAGTTCTCACTTGCTTATTTTGAATATTAATTATAATAACGCAAAAAATAGAACCATGCAACTATAGATAATTTATTATTGAAATATGATGTTCTCTTTTCTAAGGAAGGAAAAAGCACTGTGAACATCAGTGAAGTCACAAAAGTGAAGAACGACGTCAGCACTTAATGATGCACGCTATATAAAAATAGAACAATTAAAGATATCGATCAACTGCGAACATTTTACCCTCCTGTGGTCTTCAATACGAGTGTAACAGCTTGTTGTGTAGCACAGCTTGAATACGTCAAAGCATTATATCATTGTATACGTCAGAAAGTTGCGACGAAGCTCGCATTGTTTCGTCAATAACTCACTTCGATTCTCATGTCCATAGATTTGTAAATTTTTTATAAAGTACATGAGATACGCTTAACATACTTCTTTACAAAATATCCAGATTAAAGATATAAATATTGATTTTCATATATATAATCATTCTCTAGCCAAAAGCGTTCCATGAAGAATATTCAATACAAACTTCTGCCTATTCAATTACAAAAAAAAAACATGTTTTATATTGTCAAACGATTTTACTTCAGTTTAAGTTAAACAAGTATGCGTTGGCAATTATAGTCTAAGGAACAAGAAGAATATATCCTACAGATGTTGTTTCGAGAATGAGTTTTTTTTACTACAGTAATGCCTTCGAGGCAATATAGAAGTCATGAGTACTTGAATAATGTTCTTACAAAATAAAAAATGTTAGTAAATACATCATCTTATATTAGAATAGCAAGTTGTCTATTATTAATTTCAAATAATGAATAGAGAAAATCAATATTGTCGAGTTTCTTCAAGATGATAGTCAATATTTGATTGAACAGATCATGAAGATGAATATTAGATTGACTCATGTTTGATTATGATCGTTACCCTTTTAAAAAAATATATAGGCAGAATATGTCAAAAATCATGATCACATTACAAATGCAAATAACTCGACTAATGATCAAACTTAATCAACAGCTTTTTTTTTTACTATTTGAAATAGGAAACTAGTAAGTTTTGATTCGTAAAGATCAAGTTTATCAACAGTGTAGGAAACCTGATATTTTCGGCTATGGTTTCAAAGTAAGGCTTTTTTCGATCTCTACTTGAATTTCTATAGTTACTATGGACTCCAAATCATTTAAATCTTTTACCGTAACTTTATAAAAATACTTGTTTTGATAAATGTTTTTACGAAAAGAAAGCAAGAGAGTCAATTGTAATATTAAAATAAATTATAAAATTGTCTAACACAGTCATTTTCATGGTTAGTAAAGTTTTTGAAGAGCCATGAACCGATTTCTCTAAAGAAATACATCAATAGTTTGATCGTTTTAAACTATGTCAAACAAATAATTAAAAAGCAATAATAAAAAATCTGCATAATCTGAAATCTATAATAATGATAGAAATTCAAGCAAATATTGGAAAAAAAAATGGTACATCTTGTTGGTGACATTGAAAAAAAAGCCTAATTTTTGAATTACTGTCAAAAATGTTATCTTTTCTAAATTGTTAACGAATTCAATCTGTATAAATCAAAACTTACTAGTCTTCAATTTCAGACAGAAAAAAAGGTTTCGATTAAGTTTGATCAGTAGCCGAGATATTTATCTGTATTAAGTGATCATTACTTTTAGGACATTCTAAATACATACAACAGTGCTCAAAACTGATTGTATATCTCATA